CATATATATTCAAGAAAGTTGGCGTCAACAGGTGGAGAACAGGCGTTGGGATTCAGGTGTGGAGAGAAAAAAAAAAAAATCCTGACCCTATGACTCTGTGTTCACCTATTGACCAAAAGGTGTTGCCATTACTTTGAACTGTGTCACTGTTAGAGGCTGATCTTCAAAGATTCTAAATAAGAGACACTAAATTGCACATGTAATTAATTTTGTATGTACGTAAAATAAATGAAATAAATGGGCGTGCTGCATGGGATCTACAGATTGTGGTGCAAACAGGCTTGGTTCTGCCAAAGTAATGAGCAGATTGCATGTTCTACTGGCAGTTTGAGGTTTAAAGTCGGGCGGGGTGAAAAATTGACTTTATCGATTGCTCAAATGATTTGTTTTCGAAAAATTTCGGTTTCAAAACCTGGATTTTTTTTATTTTATTTTGAGATATGGAAGCCAAATCTTCTCCTTTAGCTCCCAAACCTCAGTTGATCACTTTTTGTTGTGTGTAACTGATAAACTAGCTGCAAACATTTAGTTTTTAAATTAAGGGATGTTTGATTTCAAAAGCCAGTTCTTGAAAGCAAAATATGACATTTGTCGTTGCAGTTATATAACGCTATGAGAGGGGAAAAATTGAGAGATTTGGTGGGAAAAAAATCTAAGATTATACCATATTATATCATATTGCCCAGCCCTAGTTCCAAGCAATGGAGATTAAGGTAATACAGATAATTAAAATTCATGATAATACTAAATAATATTTATAGTGCACCTCCCAGCCTATATCTAGGTACTATGAAAAGTAAAAGATAAAATTGATGGAGAAAAATAATCTTTAGATTATTTTAATAAACATGGGATAACATCAAAAATTCCTTCTTTTTTTGTTTTGTTTTATTGTATAAAGATTGTCTGCCGTCCTGCTCCAGTCATTTGAGCCAGTCTGTGTAGACATTTTTTTCTTTATTGATGTTATTCTATTAATTAATCCAGATATGTTAGCATGGACCCAGGATCTCTCTCCATCATTGTACCATTCCCTCCTTTGTGACTGCAGACATTGTACGTGTCAGTTTAAGCCTGACTTTAAGAAGTACTAACAAAGACACATAAAAAAGCATCAAAGTTGAGTTTCAGACATGGAAATTTGCTTTACATGCAGCCATTTTTTCACATTTGCATCTCCTCCATCCATTAATTTGTGCAGTTTGGTCATTAGAATATGATCTTCATATGAAGCTGAAACTTGTTGCTCCATGCGGCTTTGATACCATCCCTATTTATATGTGAAATATAAATAGTTTCCTATTGCAAAGCTGTAGGACGAAGTATAAATGCAAAAAAAAACTTTTTTTCCTGCACATTTGAGGTCTTATTACCAAGTAGCAACAGAAAGCTGCAGACAGAAATCTGTAAGTTTCATTCTGTTCCAGACACAAAAGCTCCTCCTCTGTTTTGTTCTGAGCTAAAATAAGTGAATAATGATCATAAAAACACATAAAATGGTCTTTTTTTTTCCAACTTGAAAAAATCCAAATTTTAATTCTAATTATGTTGTTTTGTTTAAGGATCAAAGCAGTACAGCGCCTCAATAGCTTTCACTCTGGCCCTGTTTTCACACCTCGTGAACCACGTGAACATCCGGCTGCAGGCCGAGCTGGAGGACGGGGAGAGCCAGGTGCCTCCGCTTCACACCGACGCTGCAGGTGAGATGGAGAAGTCCCTCTCAGACAGGACAGAAAAATCACAGCAATGCAATTTTTTTTGCAAGGATGTTTTTAAGGATTGCATTTAAAAATTTTACCTTTTCTATTCAAAGTGATGAAAAATGACATTTTTTTCCCCTTTACATAGATGACCTTGAGATGAGAGATTTGTCAATTGCAGAGGTGGATCCTTCCAGGGAGAGGCCTCTGCAGAATGGCTCTCTAGAGCAGGAGGATGAGGAGGACAAGGATGAAGACGGCGGTGAGCGAGCCAAAGTTAAAAAGCTCAGCAGTGAAGAAGAAGACCAGCGGAAGACTGAGGAGGAGAAACAGAGGCAGAAGAAGAAGTACACCCGCCTGTCTCGGCTGCGCCGCCGTCGCTGCGCACACAAAGGCGGTCCAGGAGAGGACGAAAGCGATCTGAGCGAAGGATTCGAGAGCGAAGAGGACGAGGAAGATGATGAAGGAGGAAGGGTCCGCGCTGATTCGATGGGCGGAACGGCAGCGGACGAGCCGCTTAACCCCGGATCTGGGACGAAGGAGATGAGGAGGGATGCCCTGGGTGAGGAAGGCGGCTGGGAAAGCGGCTCTGAGGAAGAGGAAGGAGGAACAGCTTTTGATGTGGAGACCGACTCTGACATGAACAGCCAAGAGTCCCGCTCAGACCTGGAAGACATCGAGGAAAGCGAAAACGCAGAAGGTCAGGCCCAGCAGCACGAGGAGGAAGAGGAAGACCAACCCAAGGCAAAGGGAGAAGAGAGGGATGGGGAGACTCCTCCCAGCTCCAACGGGCCCCTGGTGCAAAGCGACTCCAGCATCAGCAGCAACCTGCAGGCCATGTCCTCCCAACTCTTCCAGTCCAAACGCTGCTTCCGCCTGGCTCCAACGTTCAGCAACAAGCTCCTGAGGCCTGCTCCCGCTTCGTCTTTGGGAATTCCTGCCCCCACGGAAACCTCTGCTCCTCCCTCCCAGGAGACGCCCCCTCCTCCTGGAGATTTACACTGCGACCTGAACCCTGGTACTGCCAACGGAACAAACGACAATGGTATAGTATATTCAGCCTCTTTATTTCATGCACATTGACAATTTTAATCAAATTCTGGAGAAAAACAAGTACTTGTTCACATTTAGTCATTTTACAACCATAGATTTAGATGGAGATGGATTAAGGTTAATTTGCTTTGGCATCCATTCTCCCCTTCCCCCTCTGGGGGACGCCTGACCGAGAGAAGACGACCTCACTGATTGTTTTTGTTTGCTTGTTTTCTTTTTTTTTTTTTTTTTTTT